TGTTGATACTATACCTTTACAGTACCTTACCGTACATAGTCTACAGTAAACTTCCAATTTCCGACTCACAACAACAACAACAAAAATGAATACTAACAATAACATATAATAATAATAACAAAGCGATTTATAGGTTCACTCCTTGTTTAAAAATTATTTTCATCATTTTTGCATCCTCTGGAACATAAGGCACTTTCCAACCAAGCGGAACTGTGTACAATGATTGCCGACCAATGCTTGAACTTTGAATAAGGTTAGTTGTTGTTCAGATGAGACTGTTCACATATGATTTCAGGCATTTTTTCGCTTAATTTTGAATACATATTCTTCAATACCTTTTACGTTAAGATACAAAACCCATTTCAATACTCTCAAGAACTTTTTGAGGGTCGGAAGCTGATTTCAAATTCTAGTTTTGATACATTCAGAATATACCGTAACCAGCACATTATATTTTAGATCCTTCTTATTATTCACGAAAATTGAATAAACCTTATTGTTAAGCGTTCTTAGACTATTCTTATATAGAGTATAAATAACCATTCTGCACTTTCTTGTTCTTTTCTTGTTTATGTATACCTTTACATCCGATAAGAAAAACCCGTTTAGTCCAAAGAAAATTGTGTGAAGGATCGCGAGACTTGATGAATTCATCACACGAATCAGTACCAAGAGGTAACACGTAAACAATAATACATTTATCTCGCCGAACGCATTTGTAAGATCGGAAACTATTAACTAAAGACATGTTTTGGCAAAATTTCGAATGAACACTCGTTATGTGTGATATGCCCTTGGGGCATTTCACATCTTGCAAGCATTCATTTGTCAATTTGGGATCATGATATTACTATTTAAGCATGCATTTTAATTTCTTGATTTTAAATACTATTTGATGTCTACTATGCAACAATATAATAAAATAATATATTTCGTCTCCGACTCCCGTCTACTTGAATGGGAAAATCGAATCCCATCTCATCTCTAGCCAAACTCCGACTTTGACCAATATTTTACATTTTTTTTCTTTTTTTCAAAAACTTGAGTTATATTTAAGTTTGATTCAATTTATGCTGAATATTTTTATAAGACTAACACATTTTACTCCGACTGCAATCTTAATATTGACTCATGCTCCGGATTCTAATTGTTGGTAACTTTGAAATACGACCCTGGTTCCGACCCCTGTATCCCCTGATTGCATATCACATACAGTCAAATAAATATGCTTTTCAAAGTTGAAGCGATGTTTTAAATAAAGTAATACAATTTTATACATATTCTATATGTAACAACTTTAAACAAAGACCGTACACATATTATCTCTGAAACAAAGTGACATATTGCTACCACCTACTTCCTAGGCAACAAATCCGTGGTAAACATATCTGCTCGAATACATTATTAAAATGTTTTATTATCAATGGACCAAATTATATTGAAACTAAATATCTTTGATAACGTAGGGTATAGGTAATGTAGACGTCATATCTGAACTAGAAAGACTATGCAGTACCTATATCTGACGATGTCCTTCTCGCAATATTGCATACTGAGTATCCATATACCGGCATTAAACGATTTGTCTCTGTCCTTGTTCATAAACAATAAAAGAAAAAAAGTTGTGTATCTCCACTCATAAGTAATGAATACTCGAAAATAATAAAAAAAAAATAAGCGAAAAAGCTGTTTTAAGATCAATCTTTTTTTAATGTGAGATCACAATAACTTGCCAAATATTCAATTACTATTGATGAGGAAAAAAATAGTAAAGTTGATAGTAAATCGTCGGTAATAAATAATTTTTTAAAATATTATTTGGTACGTTCCTATGTTTTTTAAAAAAAAATGATATCCGTAAAAGACGAAGAGGCTTCTATTAAATGATTAAAAGGTCACAATGCGCTCAATTTTCTGAAACCGAACCGAAAAGATCACTGTTTCAGATTTCTGTAAAACAGTACGATGTAACGTCTCTGACCCCATATTTTGTATGAAACATGACCCAAAATATGCCTTTCCTGAGTGCGTCTTTGATTTTGGCCTAAAGGCACACTTTCGACAATAGGCGTTGGTAGCTTTAGTTAGACAAGTATTCTGAGATTTTTTCAATCTGAGATTTTAGAAAACCAGTTTAGTTAATCAATTAATGTGGAATTAATTTCAGTTACTAGTTTCAGTTGCTGTATGTGTCTGTCAAAAAATGCAATTTCCCAAAATAGTAACACAAAAACAAATTTGACGTTTATCTAATTAAAAAGTTAAGTATTTTTTGAAATTTTGAAATTTGATTTGATATGACTTTATAGTTTAATATGGTAAAAAATGCACCAATTTGTTTCAACAGTATTTCTCATCCACATTTATTTATTTGAGATAAGGTAAGACAGAATTTGACTGCAATACAGAAGTGCTTCTAACTAATAAATTTGAACCTTTTTTTGGTCATTCCGAAGTTTGTGTTCTGCGCTACGTGTCTTGACAGGTTCTAAATATATGGCATCCTTCTACCTGATTTACTGTCAGTACTAATACTACTTTAGTATTTTTTTCAATGCTTGAAGTTTACCACCATATGTTTTCAGATTCCAATCTGATTTTTGTTTTCTTTGATATTTTTTTGGTCATTTTCATCCGAATTTTTATTCCCTAACTTTGTGATACATTTTTTATTTAAAGTAATAAACAATCTTTTAATGTTCTCGCTTTGTGTTATTCATCTTTGACGATATAAAATTTATAGAAATGCTTTGGGTCATACTATTCCCTTTCAAATGACAGTGAGGTTTGTCATATAGATGACGAACACCTTGTTTTTTGACAACGAATGATTACACTTAATGGATCTTAAGCAAAATTAGTGTTTCTGACTACCTGAGACCGACTGAAAATATGTTAAAAAAAATAAAATCTATCACGACGTATTTTAAATACGTATTATATACGATATTGATGAAAAGAAAGCAGATTCTTTTAGCAAGAAGCAAGATATACAACTGTAGAGATAACCCAGACCACCACATTGGGTAGTCCCGTGGCATATGAACCAAGATGGCGGGCACCGGAACGTAGTATCTGTAACAGGTTAGGGTTAGGCCATAATTTCAGGTACAAATACTACGGAAGTCCTTTTGCTAGTCGCCGAACTCGTAATAGAATTAAAATAAGGGAAATTGGAATACAAATATGGCCTAACCCTAACCTGGTACACATACTACGTTCCGGTGTCCGCCATCTTGGTTCACATATACCACAGGAGTACCCCACATTGCCCTAATTCTTTACCAGTACATCGAAATGTCGAACCTAAAAACGCAAGTTCAAACCAGGCGAACTTATTTTAACCCTTGAAACAAGCTCAGCAATTGTAATTAACTAGTTAATTTAGCAGTATTAGAGATTTTTAGTGTTTGATACATCTGATCTACAAAATTAATTGGTAAACAAAAGTATCGCATACTTGGATTTTAGGACCAAACAGGCCAAAAATATACGCTTAGACGTAAATTACCCATATGAACAGTAAAAAAAATTGCCTAATACGAGAATGGTTGTTACATAAATTTCAGAGTACCGTGTAAATTGGTCATTTCTTTCTATCAACAAAAAAAATAAAAAAAAATAATTAAAAATGTCATAAATGTTGCCACTAACACTGAATTTTTACGTTAATCGGTAATACTTTCTACTTGAATAAAACACTAAGCAATGCAACTCAAATTACTTCAAATATTCTTTCAAACTTAAAGTGTTTGATTGATTTTATTACGACTTCTGCTCCAACTTTCCAACATTTTTTCCAAAGCTCATTAATCATAATTAACACATTAGCACGTAATTAGGTATTATATTTACATTTACAGCTGATGTTTTTAATAGAGTTTAGTACTTTTATTTGCCACGTAATTTTTATTGAACAAAAATTAAAATTTGAATCGGAATTACGTTATATGTTTTACGTTATATCATCGTTTAACCGCATTAGAAAGATAACTGCTAAAAAAGCATATACACGATTAGGCAAGCGAACGCTACGTTATAAACTTGAAATTAAAAACCGCTCAATAGTAAACGCTTGCGTGGATGATTTCAATTACTTCCATAATTAGAAAGTACCCTCGATTACGCCATAAAACGGTTGGACTATATATGCTATCGTTGACGGCTTGTTTTCACACTTATTAGTTTATCATTACAAGGGATTAACTTGAACTCCTTGTCATAATTCCGTTTCTGGTTTTTGGATATAAAAACAGTCAACGGTCATGGGTGATCCGTGCATTTATGATGTGCTACTTCCATGGCCTATGATAGTTTTAATTAGGAAATTGTACGCTTCATCTTTATTCTAGTAATATAAACGATTTTTGATTCGTACGTGGATGTAAACAATAAACAAAAATAAGGAAATATTAAGGGGAGTTTTCGCAAAAACTGCTTATTTTCACAGTCGGTGATCTTAGAAGGAGCTTCAAAATCGAGAAAAGTCAGCCTTACCTTTTGTATATAGATTTAAAAAAGAATTGTTTGTTATAAAACATGAAGGCACGAGTTTTAAAATACGAGCCAAATATGAGTTTTAGTTCTGAAAAATATTAGAATATTCTACGCAAATGGCTCTGCCAGTGCTTTCCAATTTTATTCGTTTTCCTTTTTGAAGTTAAATATTGTATTGTTAGTTTTTAGTTTTATGGCATTCATGGTATCTCGTTTTCTGTAAATATTGAGTTATTTGATCTGGTATATCTATATTAATACATTGAAATTTTGGCACAAATAAAATGTGACAAAAATAGTTAAATATCAGTGAATTTATCTTCTCCTTTCTTACCCTAAACAAATAATGTTAGGCCTGGAGTTGATACTAGTGTTGTATCGGAGATTTCAATTATTGAGCCTTTATTATTTCACGCACTCATAATATTAACAGAATATGTGTGGTGAGAATGCTTTAATTTTGGGTATGAAAACCAGGAATTGAAGCCTTTTTTATAAATTTACTCAATATCATCATTTTTTTTGTATATTAACAGATATCAATATAATGAATATTTTACATAGAAATTGTCTTTTATTGGTATTTTTGTTGCAATGCGCAATAAAATGTTCAACGTTTGGCGGTAAGTTTTTACAACGTGTTTATTACTAAATTATGCCAAATTAAGTTCATAATCTGTGATCGTAAAGTGACCGTAATCGTATAACAAACGCGCTTATACATACAAAGCGATTGGCTTAGGGCTTATCTGACTTGGCCAAGTCTAATATTAGCATAAGTAGTATATTTGCTCAGTTAAATTGGCGGATTACTCCGAGATTTATTAAAAAAATATATATATACATTGTCATTTATGCCAGTTTTAAACTTTCGAGGTGTTTATTTTCTCGTATATACCGTATGCATAACAGTAGGTATATTTCAAGACAAGTTTGCTGAATTATTCTTCGCTAAAGTCTAACGTATTTCAATCTCACAGTTACATTATGTGATTGCAAATGCTCTATAATTTATTGATGCCATTGATAGGCGAATATTTATTCTACTGTTTTTTTAGGAATGAATAAAGGGAACAAACACAGACACAAAGAACAGCTTGCATATATGAAATGCCCTCATTTGAGAAAGAAGATAGATCGCGAATGTCCTTACTCAACAAGGTAAATTCTAATGCTGTTACAAAATGTCGCCTAGTTTTTGTTTTGATTATGCACTCAAATTTAGTGGCACTCACAAGCAAAAAGTTATTGCACCTGTTTTCTGTTCCACCTAATTAGTACTCATGAACATATATTGTTAATTTTTCTTATCTCAACTTTCAGGTATTTGAAAGCAGATGGGTCATGTAACAATCATGTCAATGCTGATGCCGGATCTACATTTGTTCCACTTAGAAGATTACTACCGGCACAATATGGCGACGGAATTCAGGTATGAGCTTGTTACACACGAAGTGATTGTAAACCTGCAGTTTATTGCTATATTGAAGTGTTGGTAATCATGCGCCTTTCTCCGCATAGTCTTTATTTGAATGGTTCGATTCGTTCTATTAGGATAACCATTTTGCAAATTGCTGCTGATAGTTTTACCTAACAATCGGGCACTTTCAGTTCGGCGTTCTACATTTGTTTAAAATTGTCGATTAAAAAATTAATTGTTCCTATTTGAAATCCAAGTTTAAACGATTGCAAATGTTCATCATCGATTTTGCAACAGGCTATATCTCGTGCAATTATAAACACTATTCGTTATTCGTTAAAGTAAATGGAATGATAAAGTTCTGGTCACAGCCATACACGTCGGTCAGGCAGTATTTGGAAATTGTTGAAATCTTTACTCAGTGAAACATTACTTTGAATAATGGGGCTATTGCTGCGTTTTTTGAACAATTATATTTCGCACACTTGAAAATATCAAAAAAAAAAATCGATCTAGTGTACAAATGAAGATTTATATATTGACTGTATTGAAAATATTTGAAATCAACTGTGAATGAAACGTATTTAAGACTTTTACTTATGTTTCAGTCTGTAAAATTAGCTCAAGATGGTGAAGCACTTCCTAACGCAAGATGGATATCTAACGTTGTTAAAGAATCTGGAGTCTCCGAAGTGAATTCGAACGTATTCAGTCACATGTTTGTACAAATGGGACAATATTTAGCACACGATGCTGTTCTAACACCACAAGAAAAGGGTGAGTTAACTAATAATTCCTTGAATATTTGCCCTGAACTGGTAATGTTTAATATATGAACACAAGAGAGCACTGTGAGCGCTCTCAGAGGCGGAAATTTTCCCTCACTGGCCTCGCGCTTTAGCTACAAAATGTATAAACAATTTTCGAAAATATCAATCTTTTGATGCTACTGCTGAACGATTATTGAAAATATAACTTTGAATCTTAGTTCACTATAGAAATTATTTGGTATCATGATTTTCCAGAAGAGGACAAGAGTGACATAACCTGCGATTGTGACAGCACAAGACCTGAATGTCATAAGATACCAGTACCAGAAGACGACATTTTTTATTCGGGCAAACGATCTTGTATCCCATTGGTACGTTCGGCGGCAGTTCCCGGTACTTCATGCAAAGATAAACCTCGGGAACAATTCAACTCAATCACAGCGTACTGGGACGGGAATACAGTGTACGGTAGTGATGAGACTCTTATGAGTGCCTTACGAGATTCAACATCAGGTTTGTTCGATTCTTACTCATTTTTGAGAAAAGGTTAATTGGGAGGGCATGTTGAGTGAGGTTAGCCTACTTGGACCTCCAGAAGTATGCGCACCAAGATGGCGCACAACCTGAACATGTGTGCACCGGTTAGGATTCAGGTTGTGCGACATCTTAGTGCGCATACTTCTGGAGCACCGCCTACTCTATGCCAGTTGCTATTAATCTTTATTCTATTGTGACATTTTCAGTGCCAAAAGAAATCTAAGGCCCACAAAAGCAAAACAGCTTTATACAAAAGATTCATACTATTTTACCTGGAACCTACTCTAGGCCAAATGAGAATACCTACAGGCCTGTTCCAAAAATCCTCAGGCCCATTTAGGACACACTTGAGTAACAATGCTCTATGCGACGTTACATTGCCAAGTGATATAAAAGTAACAAAACCACTTAATTCAATCATTTTCATAACAAATATCATTTTTCAGAAAGCGGAGAATTAAACGTGAGAATAGAAGACGGAGATATGAGAACACCTAAAACAGATTCGCTTCCCTTTATTAGTCAAGTTGATCCAGATAAAAAGTTTACGTTTGCTTGTCCCGAGCATTTGCACAAAAATAAAGAAACTTGTTTTGCTGGGGGTAAACTTTATTTTTTTATTCTGTCACCCTCTCAAGGTGTTTGTTATTCTTCATTCTATTATTGTACAATATTAAATCAATTTCATCTGTCTCTTAGGTGAAGCTAGAATTAACGAAAACCAAGGTTTAATATCGATGCACACGTTATTTGCAAGAGAGCACAACAGGATAGCTCGAAAATTAAAATCTATTAATCCGAGTTGGACGTCCAACGAAACATTTTGGGAAACTAGACGAATCATTGCTGCAATATCACAACATATAACATACAGGTAAACACAACGAAGAAAATCCATTCTTATATGGTCTTCGACCAAGTTCATTGAGTCAATTTAACAACAGCTTCATTATAAAATTTGAAAGTAATTGTCTAAAATCTCTGCTTTGAATTTGTAGTGAATTCGTTCCCGCGCTTGTGGGAGAACAAAGCTCAAGAAGATACGATTTAGAAGCTTTAAAATATGGAAACTATTATGGATATGACGCCACGTATGATGCGTCTATATCAAACGTTTGGGCGACAGCCGCTTTCAGGTATTATTAACATAATTCAAGACTGCGAATCCTCCGTTGGTCTCAAATCTAGTTAGTTCGGTTGGTATCGGTGCTATTGCAAATCACGTTAAGAATTCAAATTTGGCCAAGTTAGAGGTAGAAATATTAATTTGGAATTACAATGAAAATTCGAAAAGTTGTATTCTCATGTATAGTTTGCTTCCCAGAAATTTGAAATATAGCCGAATTAATCCCGTCCCATGTCAAAATAACAAAATTAAATAAATTTTATTTCTCTTATAAAACGTCACCGAAACTAAATTCCCTGTTTAAAATGCTGAACCAAAAGTGGGGATAGATTAAAAAGCAGGCCGTTAAACCACTTATAATAACATTAACTTTTAACTTAACATTTAAAAACGAGACATGGAAGGTATTTTAGTAGTTTTAACGTATACACAGTGTCACAGACCATATTTTTCTATGTTGCATTATTTTCTGTAGTGACAAAAGCAAACTTCTGTGTTCTACAACTCGTATGAAAATGAACCTGTAATTTTAGCTTTAAAATCCTATAACGGTTTGGTCATTGATCTCCTAAAATTGATACCAGCTTCTCACTTTATATAAACTTCACTGTAACAGGTACGGCCACAGTATGGTAAAAGAGATGACAAGTCATTTAAATTCGGAATACAAAGATGAAATTGCCGCCGCACCAATGCACGAAATGTTGTTCAATCCTTCTCCATTACATAATGTGTCTGCGCACCGGGATGCTCTAATAATAAGGGGACTTCTTGAGGATTCTGCGGAAAATGCTGATATTTTTATGAATGAGGAATTAAGAAGGTGTGTTTAATATTGAGCAATTAATTTAAGCATATTTTTATTAGAAATTATTGATGAATAAATAATAAATAAAAGGTAAATCAAAGCCTTTACTTTTTTAAATTTATGAAGGTTTCTTTCATTGCATATTGAAATCAAACTTTGGCAATTTGCATTCTGGTATGCCTAACTTCAAATTTACTAAATATAAACTACTGACATCAATACATTATTTTCAGTAAAATGTTTTTGTCTGAGACAAAGATTGGTGTCGATTTGTTTGCGATAAATGTTGAGAGAGGGAGATTACACGGTCTTCCTGGTTACAATGATTGGCGAAGCTTCTGTGGTTTGAATCGATTCATTTCATTTGATGATTTTTCGCCCGATATTCCAAGAGAAAAAATGGAAATTTTATCGAAATTATACAAGTGAGTTATTCAAAAAATAATAACAAGTTGACACTGACCACGTTACCAACACAAGGTATACAAGCATCTCATTATATGAGTAAAACAACTGATAAATTGTGCAAGTATCACCGCATTGTGCATTAATTAATTACTTGATTACCCAGTGATACTTGTACAATTTATCAATTAACTACTTAATTAATTACTCTGAATGAGTAATTCATGGAAATTTTTGTTTGTTCAAAACTTAGTTTAGTAGAAATATAAAACGAGGCTATTCAAGTCTTGAATATGTTACTACATTGATTTTAGAAATGTAAACGACATCGATCTTTTTGTTGGTGGTTTGGCTGAAACTCCTCTCGAAAATGCAGCTGTCGGACCAACTTTCTCTTGTTTAAATGCCGAACAATTTCGCGCAATGAAAAAAGGGGACAAATCGTGGTACGAAAACCCAGGAAGTTTTTCTTATGGTATGTACTTTAATTTTTGAACACAAGAGAGAAACTCTGAAATGTATCGACACGCAGACCAAAGCGAAAGAAAATCATAACCTGAACGAATCCGGAACGGTAGCTTAACGGTACCTGTATCACGGTATTGGTACCTGGGCTGTCCTGACTGTGACGATGATTCATGCTTCAATTCTCAATTGAATTGAAATACCAAATGATCCCAGTCACAGCTGTATTTTCAGTAATAAATGTAAAAGCGATTTTTTCACAAGAATTAGAAAAAATGACAAAACGATCAATAGGTCGATTTCGTGTCCACCAGCAAAGCTAGTATTGATATATATATATATATATCTATATAAATTTTTATTATTCAACCACAGTGTATACTCAATGACCATTTAAATGCCTACGAACTAAGCCAAATATCGAAACAGCTTTATTAATTGCTCCTTGTAGAACAACTACAAGAAATCAGGAAAGTTTCTCTGTCTACACTTATTTGCAAAAATGTTTTTGGTATGAGAACGATACAACCGAGAGCCATGTATCTTCCTTCCGTGTCTGGAAACGAACGAATTTCATGCGATGATATCCCGGAAATAGATTTTCACGCATGGAGGATGATAGAAAAACCCGAAGGTAATTAATAAATATCTAGAATATCACGAATATCGTATTGAATCATTTTTTTTCTTTAAAAAATTTATTTTATATTATACAAATATGGTTAATTATATTTGTTGCCTTGAAAGGTTTTAAAAGACTTACCTATTACCAACACGGCAAAATATACTTGAAACTAGTTCTATTCAAAAATTAATCGAAACACTTATCTAGCCACCGGAATTCTTACTCGCTGGTTTCCAAAATCTGTGGACGAAACGGGACAACAAGTTTTGCAAAGAGAACTCACTCGACATGGGGATCAGATTTGTACCGGAGCTACAGATTATAAAGTACGAAATATATTGCATGGTTTTCTTTACACTAAAAACAGTGAGATTGCTTTAAAGCTCACAACGTGAATATAAAAATTCGATAACGAGTTCTTTTATGAAGTAATATCACGTAATCTAATGGGACACAGTTGTCACTTAATTAAATTCGTTGTGCTTATTATTTTCTTAATATTAATTGACTTTAAGTTATGTCTACTCCTCTGCGATACAAAAAAGAAATTAACATATGAGGTATTGTTGGCCCTGCATTTTTAGTTCGAAAGTTCATTTTTTTTGAGAAATGTATAATTTTATTAATAATTCTGTCAAATTGAAGTCACCGGAACCCTTTGAAAATCGTTGCGAAAAAAACGTATTGATGAAATCAAACCACAAAAATTTTTTCAGAAACAATCGTTCAAGAATCACGGAAAGGTTCAAGAAAGAATTCGATTTTCTTGTCCTCATGGCTCTATCGTCGCATCCGATTTTCCTAATTCAGTGAAAGGTAGTGTATCATTATTATTCAAATTCTAATCTAGAATAATGTGGTTCTAGAATAATTCTAATTCTAGAATAATGTGGTGGGTGTCTTCATAGAACATGAAATAATGCTGAAATAAGTGATTTGATTGTAACCTACTTAAGGTTAGGATATCATTACATTATAGTAGGCTTACAAAGCAAATGTGTTACGAGTGATAAATATCCAATACCAAGGGGAAAATATCAAATCATGAAACGTTTATAATAAAGAATATATTCATTGTTCTAAAGACATTGCTGTAGAAAGTGAGAATCAATTTTACTATTAAGATCACTCTTGGACACAATGGTTTGATAGAGACAGTCCGTCCGCTGCAAACGGTGATGACGTAGAATCACTTGGTCGTCTGCTTCTTGAGCTTCCACAAGAAATATGCAGACAGCCTATTTCCATGCAAGCCAGAACAGTATCAATGGTAAAAATTTATAATTCTTTGGCATTCCGCGTTGAAGTACGGACCGGTAATGTGTTGCGTCGGTGACCGTACATTTGAACCCACGTACATTTGAACCCATGTGTATATCCACGGGTTTAATCTATATGCGGGTGCTAAAACCCATGGGTTAGGGTTAGTATGGGTTCAACTATTCGAAAAACAAAAATAATTCCATAGGTGCAATAACATACAGGTGCAATTGTCATGGGTTCAAATGTACGTGGGTTCAAATGTAATGGAACCTGTCGCGTCGCTTATAAAAGGACGTATGTATCATGTTATGCGAAACATATAAACCAAGTAAACCAAAATCTCATGCAAATAAGTTGTCGATAAAAAATGATCATTTGCAAAAACTTGTGATATATTTCGTTACTAAACATGTTTTACCTTTCAGACAATGGGTCTCGAAACAGAAGAAACATTAGAATACTTTGGACCTCAACATGGACTTGTATGCAAAGCACGTCATCAGCCAAACAACAAAGGATGCTCAGACTATTCCATTCGATTTCTTTGCCCCAATGGTAGGATAAATAGCTGTTGTACTTTTACATTTGAGACTCTGTTGTGAAACACAATTGAGAAATAATGCTAAGCAATTTTGATTGAAATCGCACTGTTACAGTGTTGCAGAAATGTCCAATCGACATTGTCACCGCGAAATATTCCAAATGCTTCCAAAAAAGCTAAATAAACATATTTCTGATATTCAAAATACTTTTCTATCGTGTTATAATTGAAAGGTATCAATATGTACATCAGTGCGGCCGTACAAAATATTACATATATATATAAGGTTTGAAGCGAGAATGGAAACATTCAGTCTTCATTCTATCATAAAACACAGATGGTATTGTAAACTAAAACTAATTCATTCAATAATACCAATAATACTGATTATTTTCAGATATTTTGTCTAATTAGACTTTTTTGAAAAATCACACACACACAGCGATGAACTATAAAACTCATTAATGTAAACAATTTTTCGCATTGCGCAATAATATTTCTTTCTGTTCGTAGAATTTTTCGAAGCAAAACAGGAATACATCAGAAGACTAATTGCAACACCAGGAGTAATATGGACGGATTGGATAAATTTTGACGACGAAGATGGTAAAGGAGATTTCGAATCTCCCGCGCTTTCCAGATTTCTTGGAAAACACGTTTGCAGGTTAGAATTGTTTCATGAATTTCTCTTCTCCAACAAGACTCGTATCAGGCATCAGTCACTCAACACCAGGATAACGAGTTGTCATAATGTAACAATTAAACTATTTAAAATTAAATTCCGGGTATTTCCAACTCTTCTCAAAAACTCAGTCAGTAGATGCAAGCAATGCGGTGTCGGTTCTTTGAAGTTTCAATGTTAGCGAGACAAAATTCTTTGTGAGTTGCTCTTTCGTAAAATATTCAAACCATATTCCTCTACCTATTGCATTATGATGGTTGTTGAAGCTTATTTGGTGCCGCTTAGGTATGTGATCTCAGCTTCTTCATCGCGATTGAGATCACGTTAAAAAAGTGAGATCACTAAAGTAATTTTATGAAGCTGAGATCGCATGGAAAAGTGGCACAGTTTATTTCGTCTGCAGCCTCCTAATATATAAAATATGTAGACTAAATCTCATATTATTGCCAGTCAAATCAACAATTTTCCTTTATTTAATATATAATTACTTCAATAATATTTTATTTTAAACCTTGCTTCATATTTATTAGACGACCTCTTCTAATTGATGGTAGAATCGCCGGAACCAATATTTCGGTCAGAGATACAAACGACGTCATGAAAAGATTGAGTCCTATTTTTGGTTTGCAATGTCTGAACGCAGACCAGGAACGTGGAAAATGCCATAATTACGAAGTTCGGTATTTATGTCACAAAAAGTAGATACACATCCATTTTATTGATTGTTCAAGTTTCACGTTTATATTTATTTAGCTTGGAATAGAATTTTCATAAATAATCACCGGGAGGTAACTATTCTAACGATGCGAATTCTAACGAACTGTTCTAGTAATATAATGTTGAATGTTTGTGGTTTTGGTAGCATATTAATTTGATTGTGTTAAATTCCCAGATTTGCCATTGTTTTTGCTTCCTTTGATTTTAATAATTGTGTTATTTTACATTTTTAAACGGCGCTATGTCAACAGCCTAACTTTATGATAGATGAATAGGTTAAAGCACTTTGATTGCTATTTTATTTTTTAATTTATTTTATATCTTTTATTATTTCAAATAAAAACCGTACAAATGAAAATGAAGCATCGGTAATGAAGTCTGAGTTTAAACAAGTTTACTGTAAAATAGTTGCGTCTAAAAGTATATAAATGCATCGAATTACGCAGGGGAATTAAATTTTACCAAGTTTTCGAAGATATTTCAAAACATATTCCAAAAGTCTATTAGCCAATTGAATATAGAATGTAGGCAGTCCGTTGTAGTGTCAATAGCTTAGTATAGAATGAGGCAACGTTCCAGAACGAGAGTAGAATAAGCTAGCGTCCTTAGATCTAATTCTAACTTCTAATGAATATTTGGCCTGTGGAGTTTAGGAACGTGTCAATAGTGCTTGTATTTTGCAACGTAATGAGGTGTCAACTTTTTGATAAAAACACGAATACTTAATATTCTCTTTAACCCGGATCAATCTGTCGATCTCTGATCTGTGTGTGTGTTCAAAACTTCACAACTCTAAAAATAAACTTTACTTCATTGAGCTCTCGCCATGCATAACGAAGCCAATTATCTCAATCGGAAGTTGGTTTTATCTGTCAAGCCAACGGGGCGAAGTGAGGTAACATTCCGATCCCGTAACTGAACCTAAAAAAGTTTATCTTTTATCATACATGATATATTTATAACGAGATATTTTAGGGTTGGTCAACCGTATCTTCTACATGGCTGGGAATTTCAAAGTGAGCTCGATCGTTCAGGTTAGGCTAAGATAAACAACAATACGGGGTAATTGCGCTATGGGTAACATACACATATTATCGCAGACATGAAGCTCTTTGGGGGAACTTGTCTGAGTTTTAGTTTCAAGGTCAATTAGATAATTGGATTGGCGGGATCACTTACGTACTCGTAAAAGTTGGCGTTTTAAAAATTAAACTTCTACCCGTTAAAGGATAAAATTTCGTCGAAAAGTTTGGTTATTAGACTTAGGTATTTTTTTTATTTTTTGTCAGATATATCGTTCGATATTAAGCGCTGATTTTATTTTCTTAATTTGTATTTTCTTCGAATCGTTTTGACCGCTATGAATCCACTACCTTAAAATTTGGCAATTTTTTGCCCTAGCTATAACAGTGTTTCAATTAATATTAAAACATATTCAATGAAACGTCAATTTTCCTAGCGCGCTTCTCAAAATAGAAGTATATACAATAAGAGCTAACTTTGCAACAAGGCACGATCGTAAAGACCAAGTGACAAAACGGAAATGAACGAAAGTTAATTTCTAAGATCAGAAATTTTATTACAAAAGTTGAAAGAACCCACACCACAATAGAGCTCATTTAAAGCGGTATTGGTTACGGACTGTTTCATCCAACAGCGTTCTCAAACGCTAAATAGAATATCAAATATTTTGTGACACATTATTACTCTGTGCCATTCACGGCAAAGTATAATTTTCTTATTACAACAGCGATTTATCTATGTTCATGTCATACTAAACGATAGTTATATTCTGAAACACGCACCTGTTGTATTGTTTAATATTAAATGGTAAGTTCTTAATATCATAAGCTATGGTACAAAGGCGGGGTTTATTAAGTAGGATTAGAATAACGTATTGGTACAAATGTTAAGACCTATCTCCAACCTATCCTATCAAATTACATAAATAATTTGAACTATTCAATACGATGCACCTATATTACAAATGTCTTTCATAAATATTTATTTACATAATAATTATCTTTATTAGACATCTTTGGCCAGGTACGTTCTAGTTTTAAATGTTCATGTAGTGTACATGCGAGTTTAATAGCTCATCAGATGTGGTTGTGTATTTCGGTATATTGGCGGATAGGATGCCGAGCTAAGTTCGCAGCTCATATTTCACGATTCGGAGTGCTGCGAACTGGACAGTTGAATGAATAAACATAATTAGAGCCAGACAGTTAATAATTTTGGGTTCATTTACAAACATTATCTTCATATTATCATAAGGTACTTTCCCCCCCTCATTCAAATGAAAACTCCGAAACAGAAAATATCGTGTAGTAAATATATATTCATGCAAGGAAAACCGTGCAAACACAGTACATTCATTCCTATAGCCAACCACATAAATAGAGATCTTATCTGAATGTCGAAATAACGTTAAATTACATTCAATCTTTTAACAGCATCATATGCTTGAATTTATTTAACGAATGTACAAAATTTCTAGAAAGTGTATTAAATCTAATATTCCGGTATTTTCTCCATATTTTATTATATGTATGTAAGTTAGTTTTGCAATATCACACGGTCAATTTAACAACATGGGTACATACCATGCAATATTATCCGTTTCTTTCAATATGGGAGATATAAACAAAGAACTTTGTGATCGTCTACCATTGAACAGTGAACAATGATTGGATTATACGCATTCCATCACAAAAGTGCAGATAATAATCATGTTGTAAACATATCATAATTATAGAATAAAAACAATTGTCCATATAATTTCTTGTCAAATCGAAAAAAAAAAACCGACTCTGAGAAATTCAGAATTTGACTCCTCTCTATTGAAATGATACTAAATTTGGACCCCAAAAAACTTTGATCCAAAAAAGACTCAAATCTTTTTCTATTTCATAACGTCTGAAATTGCGATTTGAGATAAATTTTGAAGTTGGATTACAGCTGCTAAGTTTTGAAAATAAAACACCGGTTTCGATGCCTGAGAATATACTAGGGTTTGACATCCTCAAATGTTGGCGTAACAACGGGTATTGAGCGATTGAAATTTCATTTACAAAGAAATTTTCTGGGCGGCGTAATACTACCTGTGATACCTATTTAGTATGCTATGCTACAAGTTATTAAAATCAAACTTCAAAAGTCATGGAATGTCAAATGGCACCATTCGAAGCTTGTAAGGAAAGCAATAAATAATCCCATTTTACCGACCGCAGTGCAACATATCTAGTGAAAACTACGGGATCGTTCACCTCAAAAATGTCACTTGCTAAAGAAGAAACTTATCTTTTAATCTGATGCTCTTCATAAATTAAAAAAAGCCCACCCATCAGGAAAACTAAGTGATTGACGTAACACAATGGCATATGTAATTTAACACCCGCTGTTGACTTTGTCAACCACGCAACACAGAATTCATTGTTAATTTTTTTTATCATTTTATTAGATCGATATACCCTAAAGTCGTAAATAACTTGAGAAATAAATGTTCATCCATGTTCATCGGTAGCTGTGGCGTCACACTCTTCCGTACCGCCGCTACGAGTTTGTGCTATCCTTCGCCTTCGAGTCCAAGTTGCCATAATCGCACATGCCATCGCATCGGCTGTACAGAATACGAGAGAATGGAACACGAAGCATAACATAACAGCATAAAGATAGTAGAGAGCGTGTGCGTTCGGCAAAGGCAAACGTTCGTAGAGAACGTAGGGAGAGAGAACCACACCAGCAAGAAGAGCAAAACCGCAAACCATCGAGGCACCACCGCTTCCAGACTCTCCTACACTACCTGGCGGTAACTCTATTTCCTCATCCAAGTATTTTGAAATCGGTTCTTCACCCACAACGGCTTCGGCTCTGACTTTACAGCAAGCTGTTTCTGGTGTTGCTGTACGTTCATATCTTTCATTCACCGCTTGATGATGCTCGTTACCTGCATCGGGGGCGGAAACATAAACTCGATGTCTGTCATCCCACCAAGGAGCCATATCGTAAACTTTTTGTGATCTGCGTCGCAAATTGATTCCGTGTGAACCTTTTATAGCTTTAGTTACAATTTCTTCGTCTGATTCCGGGTCTGAAAGAGAGTCGTAATCTTCGGGCAACGGTACTACTAAGTCTTCTTTCAAAGAACCTCCCATTACGGATGAATTTTTCATCGAATCGTTTGAACCGTCTGAAATTCGTGCAGATATTGAAGGTGCAGAACGACCTTGAAATCCAACCCTACGTTTTCTTTTTTCATCTCTGAATAAACGTCTGGGACTGCGATATTGTTTTTCATTTTTGGTTTCCAGGTTCGTTCCGGCACTTGGTTTAGGAACAGTGGTTTCTGCAGATAACAAGAAGAAAAAACATGATGAAAATCTCACAAGCTTATTTTTATTACAGTGAAATCCAAAACTACTAAACTGTGCAATGGCACTCATTGTTACTAATGTGTTATATTATGTATTTTTCAAGTTTTACAAGTAAAAACAACAGTAGGCCTACCACTTCTTATTCACAATAGTATACCGCTAGGTCTTTGCACAGAACAGTAACCAAACATCATCACTGATATCGATCATTTTTATTCACATTTCGTATTCATTAAGTTTTACATTTTAGCATCCATCAAAAGATTTCATAAATCTGAGAGATTTGGAAAGACATCGCAAAAGTGTGAACATACTGAGCAACTAACTAAAGATAGTCCAACAATTATTACTGTTGAGCATCTGAATGCTTTAAGACAGTAATACTTCATTAATTGCATTAAACAAGTTCAATCTACATTTGTCTTCATCTTACCACCATCCGAAGTGTCGTCTTTGCCGCTGGATACACCTAATCCAGTTAACGTAGTGTCCCACATGGAATACATCGCTTGGGCAATACTTTTTCTGTAACCTCGTTTTTCCGCGTTCATTGGAGGAGCATCTTCTTCGATGGTAACAGTCTTTTCAACAACTTTCTCTTCTGTGGGAATTTTTTCGGCACTTGGAGCAGGCTGGGTCGGATCTGCTTCTTCTGAATAGACAATTTTAAATACAAATTTAAGTATATATTATGGATATATATACTGTATACATAACTATATAGGAGACGAGAGTATAATGTATTTGGTTTAGCTCATTCGATTATAATATCCTATTGGTATTGGTGGTTTATCAATATATATACAATGAAATTATTTTCTATTAGGTGTGATTTACCATACCCGTTTTTTCTTTTGCTTGACAGCATGTTTGGTTTTCCAGCATTTCTTTCATTTCACATGATCCATCTCCACATTCTACCAATCTTTTCATCGTGCTGATTTGCCCAGGAGTAAGTGTATCCAAAATCTTTAAAACTGTATCATCGACACATGGCGGGTACGGAGGGAATTTCGGTCCACTATAGTCAGGCCTGTTTGCAATTACAACCGCCCCATCTATAAAAGTTAGATCTTCAGGTCCCATAATATGAGCGAAATCGTCCTTATCGTCCACACGAGCCCATTTGTTGGCGCTCGTGGACTGCCGGGCAATTCCTCTGATCAGCATTCCAACAGCGGTACCAGCTAGTGCGCCCAATACACCTGCAGAAACAGCGTCATCTCCTCGAATAATATATTCCATCGGTATTCGGAGACCTGTCGCTTCATCAAATTGAGCTGCTCGTTCGTACGGCCATTTGTACATCAGGAAATGAGATGCAAACATAGCAATAGACACTGAGCTCCACTGTATTGCACATCTCTGAGCACAAGTGAAAGAAGAACCGAGAGCCCTAAAAATAGAAAAACAGTTCGTGAAATACTTAAATACAATCTTCTTAAACTGTTTGATCGATTTTTCTCTTTTTATGAACTTTTTTGACTCACCTATGCCACATTGTCGTCCATGCGTGATTCTGAAGAAACACTTTCTCCATGTATTCTTTTGTGCTCAATGCTCCTATCAAATATGTTTTGAAAGAAAAAGGTTTCCGGTCACCTCGCAACCAAGCATGAACTTTACTTTTCCAACACTTCCGATTGTCCAAACACATTACTCGAATTTTCTTCAGGAACCTGTGAATGTATTTTTGACACAAAGGGTTAAAAATGAAAGCGGATTTTCTATGATAATCTACTGAGGACTTATCTGGTTTCAGATTTTATTAAATTCTGTCTAACTATAAAAAGAAATGAACACTCGTTTTTATCTCCTATTTCAAAAAATAAAACAAGGTTTTGTTGGGTGGCTGCAAATTTGTTGGTGACGTTTTATTCCGCTGTGAAACAACATTGAGGATGCATGATTTATTAGGAGCCTTCCTAAATTTCTATCTCAGCGACATTCTTCATTCATAAATGCTTATGTATTTACCTGGCTTCGAATTATAGTTTATAACCATTTGACCAACGGTTTCATATCTTTCGACAGTGTGGCGAAAAAGTCCTCAAAATCATTCCACAACTACCACGAATAAAATTGGAATTCACAAAATAAAAATAGGACTTCAAAGGCGCCCAGTAATTTACTTTATAAACGAATATAAGGTTGAATACAACGACAAGCTGTTGTGAAGATTGTAACAATAGAAATGTAGGTTAGAACTCATGACTGTTGATTATTTTCCTCGCTTATTTTCACTCATTTATAGTTATTAAAGTTCCAGATGCACGGTGAAGGTTAGATCGATACGTGAAAACCTCTACAACGACGTGCCCAACACTCCTCGAATATTACAATCTGTAATTTTATTGAACACGGTGAATTTATGGATCGTTTTGGTATTAGGTTGTTGTTGCTGCTTGTATTCTTTTCTTGTTGTTGTTGTGAAAACATCATTTCTCCTTTTAACTAACTTTCATTTATTTGAAAAAGTTCTGTGAACTCTACAGGATACATTTTTGCGTACTATGACGTCATAAAAATGGCGCATCTTGTGGCGGTTACGAGTTCGCATAACCGTACTATTTTGTTTTGGCTTTCTTGTTTGAATTACGGTACATCTATCGCAAGGTTACGGTACTTTTATCGAGAAATAAGGGGTGTATGAAGTCAAATTGAGGACATTTTGAATGAGCGTTACTCCACTTTTTGTACGACGAGTCATTTTCTATAATGGCACTCGTTTCAGAAGTAGAAAAGTACATCCTATATATATTCGATTTCACATTTCAAACAAACAATAAAAATATCGTACTATAAAAATATATATATTTTCAATTACATAAAATATTATACTTTGTAGAATTAATCCTTGAGTCATATGCTAACAACAAACAAGAGCAATCATCATTTTAAATTAATTTATATAAAAACAAACATATCTGTTTTATATGAGAACTGCTATAAGACAATTTTTAGCGTTCCGATTCCCGCATGATGAAGAATGATCGCTTTTATCTACAAGATTGGGCATTTATTGATACAAATTTGTAGATAAATTATTATCGAACAATAGTATTTTTCAACGACAACTAAAACTGGATGATAATTTATTGAATTATTTTTGTATAAAACAGAGCATTTTATATTTAACAGATGACTATACGACTTCGTATTCATGGTGGAACTTTATATTCGAAAACAGTCGAGAGTAAGCATCGCAAAACGGGTTGAGATAACATTGTACAGTCGTCCTGATGCATGCAGCACAACAGCTTATGTTAATCTCATAGAAACGGCAACATGGACGAATGCACCTTAAAAAAATAGTAGTGTAATAGTATAAAAAGAAAATTTATGTAATAAAACATTTAACCTATACAGCGATGTAGTTTCTTACCAGATATTGATCATACTTTGGCATGCGAACATAAGACCCCACATACAGGCACAAGGACCTCCACATAGCACAGACATAACGATGTAGCAACAACTTTTCATAGCCCAGAATGTCTTGTAACTGCAAGTCCATACACCGTCGATGGTGTGACTGCCTTCGGGCTCTGCAAATGCATCTTCAAAAAGAACCTGCAAATATGTTGAAAATTGAGAAAACTTGGGAGATTGACTGGATGTGTTCAATGTTCATAAAGGTAGATTTTGTCGTAAAAGTATCATTAGTACCTGAATCTACGAAAAAAAGCTATTTAACTAGTATCTATTTCAGTATTTTTTAACCGTGATTCCGCAGAAGATAAAAGACTGTTGCACAGGGGTTACTCGGGACTAAAATGTCTCATTAGGGTTCTTCCACTCCACCAAAATGGTTGGAAATCAATGATCTATTTGATTCTTGTAATTTCTGATAGATAAGGATCGTATGCGATCTTTATGTCATTCATTATCCATGTTATTATGATATTCCTTCATTTTTTAACGCAAGCAATGTTTGTGGTATTTTGCTTTTTCTTCAATATTTTCTGAAATATCCCCAATGTCCTTTAGTTCACAACCAAAAATAAAATATAAATATAGAATTTTACCCGAACATGTCCATTGATATCCTCGGGATCTCGTTCATCCAGATCAGGTCCGTCTTTGTCCATTTTACGCTTTCTATGTTTAATAGCAACACTAAAATACAGTCCTCAGTCCGTGGATCTGGGTAGCCAAATGTAGCATACACAGCCTACTGGTACGTTATAATATCAATAGAATTGTTATTTCTTTGGTGTCCCTAGCAACAACAACTTTTCAAAATATGCTTTTCATCACATCAATCTGAAGCCATGAACGATCAGGTTCTTTCCGACCGTCACGTATTACGTGCCCAGCGACGTGGTCATTGTTGCCATTTATATGAAAGATTATGAAGTCTTTTTAAATGAGATAACATTCGCACCCGTTACTAACAATAGCCGCGGAAATTTTTCTTTGTCAAAAATCAAAAATAAATGTTTGTTTAAAATTTGAGAAAGGGATGGCTACCACATCAGTATTGTCATTATTTGCATTGCTTTGTTATTTTGTAACTAGAAAATTTAGCAATATGTTTTTATTTTCAAGTTAACAAGACCAGCAGAACTATCCTAAGATTAAGCAACAATGTGGATGTACTAGAGTCTATCTATACTATGACTTGAACCTCCGTATAATATTCGCCATGTATGACTGACTTTTTTATTTTTAATTATTCTATTGATATATAAATGCTGTCAGTTTACAACTTTTTGCTATATGATAATCTCTTGTGAAATTGTTGCAAAAGAATTGGATTACAGAATGACACATCCGCAAATGATATAAAGTGTTAATAGGGCGGTAACACATTTCTCTTCGCAAAAGTACATAAAAAATTGGAGGTTGCATCTTATTGCATATTCGGACAAAGCCGAAATCTGAATCGCCTGTTATTGCCAAAACTTTTGTCACTTGTATCACATAATTTAGCTATCGCTTCTCATCAAGATTATTGGCCTAATATTTAAACATTCGATTGAAATAAAAACTTACTCGTTGGATCTTTAAAATACTTTTGTAAGTTATTTGATACCTTTTCGAGTTGGATGAAAACTAACTTACCATGGCGGACTTTGCCCCGCAGCATCTGTCATGATTTCTATCGCCTCGATATATCCGAGATAATGAGGAACAGACAAAATAAAAACATCCTTGTTTCGGCTCCAGAATAATTGTCGCGTAGCGTTGTTTCTCCAAGACAGCGAAAATGCTGGACTTTTCGTCAACTTGCCACACAAACGGATAAATACTCCAGATGTTGTTCCACCCGCGGGGCTTTGACCCGTCTCTAGAAGCACAGCATACTTTCGGAATCCCTTCACTGGCCTTGAAGGGATGAAAATTGGCTGTTTCTGAATCGAGAAATGTATTTTCATTTGTATGTGAGCCCTTTCTTAATGTCAACGCAAGGGTATGTTTAAATAAATTTACGGTACCGACATTGGTTCAAATAAGGAGATAATAGTTTAAGGTAAGTAAGCATGAAAACTGGAATAAATCCGCGTGTTCTTAGTTATTTGATAATATTCAACAAAGTATAAAAATTGCTTCACGTAGAAATGAGTAGAAATATTATTTTCTAATACATGGGCTTTTTTTATCGCAGAACTGTATTTCATTAGTTGCTTTATTATGATGAACGACAAAAACACACTCGCTAACGCAATGCTGGTTACGCTACTGCCTGATCACATCAGACAGTGGTTCTCAACCTTTCACTGACCGCGTACCACTTTACTGTTTTTACTATGGCCGTGTACCACCGACAAAGTTCCTTTTTTGGCGTGGGGAAAAGGCACAAGAAACATGCTAGGTGTGTATTTTATGAGGCACTACATCCTTTGTGACGTAACACGCAAAACGACCAAAAACATGCCCATATCGCTTCATTTAAGGTGGGCAATAGCGGGCGAGGGCGATCTCTAAAGACAAGGATCGATAGCGCACCTGCGCTATGAACGTTTCCCCGACCATTGACCCCGGAAAAATTACTCTTATACTTTCTTATTGCAAACTTTAACTTATGCTTATTCCGAGAGTTTTTTGGTGTGTTGGCGCATATAAACTGGTTTACGTGTTTGAAACCAAAATTTTTATTAAAATTAATCAACCATGTGCCGTTTGCAGGTACTGATATAGCTAAGTTTAGCCTTGTCCATCGCAGCATTTGCGAGATTCAATCCCGGTCACTGCAACTAAAGTAAAGCTCCGCGGAAGACATAATGACAATTAAATTAATCAATTGTTGCAATAATTCAAATCTGCTCGCGTACCACCTGAAAAGCTCCCGCGTACCATTAGTGGTACGCGTACCACAGGTTGAGAACCACTGCATCAGAGGAATGCTTGCCTATTACATCATAACCATCGGGCGGTTACGGTTTTCTCAGTTGGCTGCTAAATAATCTATATTTCTCCCTGTAATATTAAGATCATAATCAACTAACCTCAGCAAGAATTTTGGCATCTTCCAATTTCGCAACAAACAGGAGTATCACGAAAACAAAAACGGCATCGTATATTGTAAATCCGGTGATGATTTTGCCGCTTATTGTATTCGGTAATTCCGGAACATGCCGACTGAACGCGAAATAGCCATCAGAAGATTGCTCGTAATCTTGTGGCCCATCCGCAAAAAGACTGACCACGTCGTTTTCACTTATAAATGTTGTTTCGTTCGTTGCTGTTCCTTTGAGATCTTGGTTTTCTTTGAAAATGTCGGACAAGAATTCATTCACCTCCGACACGTTCGCCATTTTCTTTGATTGTTATTATTTTTCATCGTTTTGTTTGAATATGGTCATTGTGACGTCACATATGTAAATTCAATTTAATTTTGCGTAGTTTACGCTTTTATAGATTACGGTTTTAAAATCAAGGTCATTGTAACGTCACAAAACGATATCGTTTTATTGTAACCAGTCCATGTTTTTGGGCAGGAAATGGACTAATTTGTCTTTTTGCTAAATTATTGTAGTTGCTGTTCTTGCTGGGTTGTTTAGTGCGGATAGAATAAATATTTTGTTAAGAAAAATTTCGCATTCCCACTCAATTAATAGGTCAATCGATTACATATTGCTATTAGTTTTTTTAATATTTTTTTTTTCAATTGTTTCAGAGGCTTGATATTTCAACCGAAATTTTGCTAATTTCAACAATATTAGGCTAAAACGTGGTATTCTGTCAAACCAGTCCTCCATCCTTTTGGATAACGCTGTACTGAGCTATATGGCCTCCGCTTCACCCATTTCAATGTGATGTGAATTGCGTGTTTGGTTTTGTTTTGTTGGCTGCATGTTGCCAAATTGTTAGATTTGGTTGTTTTCTCTTTATGATTTATCTTGAAAGATGAGTATTTCAGAAACAAAATTTTGTAATTATCGCCTGTTTTCCTTGTTTGGTACTCTGTAAATTGAAATTGGTCGATCATACGTACTATCCTCAAACGAAATATAAAATGGGGAGTAGCTTGGAAGCTTCACAATACAAATGTAGTTCCTCACAACCAATTCCCACATTACCCACACACCTCAGCACAAAAGCCTTTTTCAGATTAATTTATGAACAAATGACTCACAATATTTCGTTCAGAATCCTGAAATGTAAAAGTAACATTGATATAAATACAGTATATGAAAGAAACAAAGTCACAGACTTACAAGTTTAAAAAAGGGGGCAAACCGATAGAGGCTCACAACTATTTCGGCATCAAAATCTTATTGAATCTCAGCATTTAGTTTTTGTTGAAAAACAAAAATTCGTAATGTCGCGAACCGAATTGGAAAAAGAATTAAGCATATATACTAATTCCCACCAAATATTGTAAATTCAGACTATCTATAAATTCTTTTACATATATTTTTCTACCTGTTGTCCTATGTCGACCGATACTTGTTTGTAGTTACAATCTCCTCTCGTGTATATACGTATATATGTGATTTCATGATAACGATGTCGATGTTTAAAGGCGGTAAACATTTAGTCGCTTTGAGTTATTCTATAAATACTGATTTGAAAAGTTATGCGAAGAATTGACTATGTCAAAGATTTCTCCGACATTCAGTCAGAGTATGCTGACATAATTCCGAGTTTTTATTGAAATTCTTTTGACTTTGTGCGTAAAATCTTCCTGATGAAGTTTCCCATTTAAAATAATAACCACCACCTGATCGAAACAACATGCTGCACGGCTTTAAAAATTATTGAAATCGCCTTATGCTTATTACGTCATTTTTGTGTCAGAATACCAAAATACGATCGAAAAATTAATATACTTCTGAGTTTTTGATGAAATTCGTTCAACCTTGCATACAATGGTGGGACAGTAAAGCGGTAAAATCCGTTTCATAGAAATTTTGGTGACAAGAAGTTGAGAAGTCGGAAATTATTAATTAGAAAGTATGAATAAGAATTACCGGTACACCAATGACGCAAAATTTTTGAGTTGTATGGAGACAGAGAGTTTAAACAAAATAGTCTGTTGTTATTGTAGTTTAACTCAGGGATTCTCAAACTTTTCGTGTTGCGGAGCCCTGAAAATGTTGACTATTATTCACGGAGCCTCAAAATAAATGTTAAAATTGTTACCTTCAGATTAATATTCTTGAGCAAGTTAAAAGTACTTTACTCAATTTAAATGGTGAACCTTTTTTAATAGGATTAATACAAGTCATAAATAAATCTGAATTTCAAACATAAATTATATATACTGAAGCTGGAAATTTGACACTTGACAAACATACTAATACAGCGGTTCCCAAATTATGGACAAAAGGAATCTTACTGGGTCGTGAAAAGATGTAGAAAGCTTTGAGTACATTGGTTATTAGGATTGGTGGCGACTCGAATACGTAAATCTTCAAAAAAACAAAATAAATTAAATTGAATTAAAATTCTAATATCTCAAAGTTTCCTTTTCACGATCTTCTCAAAGGAACAAAAATTTGCTACACAAAGAATGATCATGTAGCTTTTTCACGCATAGCAGTTTTGTACACTGTACAGCACTCCCTACCGTATTTCCCCGAAATTTAGACAGGATTTCGATTTATTTTCCTTTGAAGAATAACACTAACTGTTTTTTTGGAAGTGGTCTTTTGAGTTCATTTATCAAAAATAAAATTACATTGTAGAGAATCACGAGATTTTGTAATAAACATTATATAAAAACCGACATCCATTATTTTTATTTGTATTTTCTATACAAAAATCAAGTGACAAATATCATATTATAATTGTGACATCACACAAACTTGAATAGTGGTGCGATCTCCACCTTACCTCAGGTCATTGAACCTTTCCTCCCTCGCACATTTTAAATTGGGTAAGGTTTAATTAAAAGCATTTTTAAAATTCAAATTAGGTCTTATTTTCAGGCCAGGTCTTATTTTCGAGGAAACACGGTAGTTTTACGATGACTAGCCATTGCTGTGTTTTGTGTTATGTCATAAAAATTTAAATGGGTCGCCATAAGCTGTTGTAATAAATAGTGGGTCGCAAAACGTTTGGGAACCACTGTACTAATACATTATGGGTCGAATATTTTCCCTTTTGACATTTTTGAAAGACTTAAAAGACGGCTAATAATGTGCGCGATTGCATTTTGTTACAATCGCCGATTTCTTTCTTCAGCATGGCGTGTTTTTGAACCTTTAAACATCTTTACGCCGGTGTTTATTTTCCTAAATCAAAAATTTCCCTCAGCATATACATGTATTGTTACACAATGACGACGTTAATTGCTTTTTTGTTCTTGTGGGGAATTATGAGTTCAATGTGAAAAATATGTTACCATTTTATAGTCATCGGCGACGAAATGATAAAAATAATAATTAATAAAGAGGTGAATCCGCAACTCAAATTTCTTGATTGAAAAGCGGCATTCTAAAATATTGAAACTAAAACTTAAAATGGGAGATCACACGTTTGGTTTCAGCAGACTCATCTCAGATTGAAAAAGCTTTTATATGCATTGTAAATCACAAAATTTGGTGTTATGTAAGGTTTTCATCGTAGTAACTGCGAAATCGAAACACAGTCAATTGTGTGCGCGATGTACCTTTTTTTCACATTTTGAAACTACGAACGGAGCCGCACGCAATCAATTGTGCGCGCGATCCGCGATGTACCTTTTTTTCATTCTGAAACTACCGACGGAGCCGAATGCATTAAAATGAATTTCAATTGTTCATATTTTGCCCAGACATTGTGATTTTTTAAACGGCGATATCTTGCTTAAAAATAATCTCAAGTGCGAAAAAACAAATCAAGTTTGACAAATCCCAAGATCGCAAAAATACGACTCCAATTTATTTATAGTTGGCAGTTTATCACATATTTCATGTTATTTTAGAATAATATTCTTTCATTTTAGTAATCCTAATAGTAATCTCGAATCAAACGTGAGTAACGATGAGCACAATTACATTATAACGACCAGACACGTTAAATGCTCGCATCGGTCATGGATTGAATATTTTACGCAACAGAAATCTCGTTATCCGTTTTTTTAATCGCGAATGTTGCGCGGAAATTTCCGATTCCAATTTTGAACCACCTCCCTCTTAAGAATCCTGGCGGCGCTCCTGCTTATCAATAATGCAATTTTTTAATTCCGCCTCTGTGCCATATTTCGCGGCTATATTGTTGTCCGATTTTATCAAAGCTGTTATTGCTTCTTTGAACAGTTATAAAATTAGTCAGTATTTTGAAAAGTAATCGAATAGCTCGCGGAGCCCCTGGGGTCCTGGTACGGAGCACTTTGAGAACCTATGGTTTAACCTATAGATAACATTTCATTCATCCATTCATTTCCTCTATGAGAACGGTTTTGCCTGAAAAAAATGAACTCCAATGGACTTGGTCAAGAACACCCTTGACAAATACAGCACGTCGGCGTTTAATATTAACTCAATACCACACATTTGAAATACAAATAGTCGGAAGTGAGGTTACAGATTCACCAGATAAGAGTTATTATTGAACACGTTAGTGGACATAACGATCGTTTCGTTTTTATGTTGTTGTTGCCCTTCATTATCTTATTCTTCTTTCTATCGATATTGATAAACCGCTTTTCTCTTTGATTACTGGACCAATTGGTTTGAAATTTTCGGTGCTTAAAGATTAAATTTTTCGCTAGAAGGCTATTACTTTTATTTATTTCAAATATTCCGGTGATCTGTATGGGATTCGTTTTTGTGTGTGCTATGACGTCATCAAAAGTTGTCACTAGGTGGCGTGTTCATATATTTGAGCATAGCTCTCTTGTTCGAAATAACAGTGGTTTTATTTTTGAAAGACTGCCAATAAATCTGCAACTAGCTCAATTAATTTACGAGAGACCGTCGTGCACCAATTATTGACGTCATAACAGAAATGACCTGTTCCGACTTCCGCATTCACCCCCAAAATAATAAGAAGTGACGCCTGCGATCCCACCTCTTATTTCGAACGTGACCGCGCCTAGGTCTGGCTTGTTTGCTTCTTATATATACTGAAATGTAACGATGGTTCGTAGTGTGAAACACATTTGAAAAAAATTATTTTCAATTGGAAAAGACCTCCATGATCGAATTCATATAACAATCTGATTAACAAAGTTGCTGTACATTGATTGAAAAAGCAAGAAAACTACTGAAGAATATCAGAAGCAGATGATGGTATCTGATTACCAACATTCATGAACAGTCAGGCGTTGCTTCATGACGCCTGACTGTTCATGAATGTTGCGCCGCCGTTTCTAAATTTAAAAATGCGTACATGTGCCGATGTAGATTTTAGATAAATTTGCCACGATATTCGTGGTTCTTTGAACATCCAAGAGGACGTTAAAAAAACTAGAGATGTGACATTCTTCAGGTTTCGATTACTCTCGACGGGTGTTTGTGAGGCTCTGGGAACACACTGGGACAGTAAAGCGGTGTTATCTGATGCTGCACCGAATTTACTATTACCAACTTCTGAACTCTTTTTACCTGCCCTGTTTTCACCGTGGAATTGTTCGAGCAAGGAATTTGTGAAGTTGAAAAAGTTCTCCACTCTTGGCTTGGCTGTCTGACAAATCAGCTCAGGAGGGAAGTTACTTAATTGCTCACTAGTGACTCAAGTGGTATAAATAAATATGGGCATACAGAGTAAAACAGTTATAGACGTGGTCGTCTCATATGATACAAAATCTGTATATAACTTTGAAATCAATTTAAAATGTGAAAACACTGATCAAAAGAAGAACAGGTCAATTTTTTTCACAAACTACAGAATTTTGTGGCCGCGGTTGCCATATGTGCAGTATTTTTAATGGAGAAACATAATGTTACATACAAATTTGTTGTATTTATATAGAGAAAGATTCATGCATTACCAAAAACACAAATACAATTGCAAATTTAAGGTTTATGAAAACTGTATATATAACATGCACGTGAGTAGAATCATTCTAGCACAAAACAACAGTGCGAAAATTAATATATAATTGTGTCACGTTTGACACATCTGAAAAAAAGGGATTAGCAGCTCACTGATCTGAACATTCGCCGGTTACTGAACTGTTGCAATACTCCTGAACACGCGCGCACACACAATTGTAAACAGGTTAAACCTCAACGCGTTATTCTGGATACATTTAATAGTATCCATTAATTCCCGCTTCGGAATGCCGTTACATTACAGTACGAAACATATAATAATATAAGAAACATAGCAAGTCAGGCCTTAGTGTGTTAACGTTCAACCCGGGAGCTGGGGATTGCAGGCGTCACCTCTTTTCTTGTCGGCAGAAGCGGAGGTCGAAACAGGTCAAAGATGAATGTCGTTAATGAATGTTAATGTCGTTTGCACAGCGCGCTATTTGTTAGCGTTCTGCAGACCTTATCTCGCCCAAGGCTGCACCTAATTTAAACTCTGCATTGCGTTAGGTGTAGATGAGTGTTATTGACCACTGTGAAGCTAGCAGCACTTTCAGCCAGAATATTTTTACACATTGAATATTGGTTCCACGCGCATATGGTGTTCACTTATAGGTAAATATGAAAATTGAAAATGCTGATCAAAATATGATATTGGCACGAAAATAGATGAAAAATCTTTAAACTGAATAATTACACTAAATTTAACAAGAAAATAGTGTTTAAAAAAAGACTAACTATGCGAAAAATGAATTTTCAGGTATTCCGCAAATACAAAGTTTCGGAAAATTATCCTTTTCGGAACCTCGATTCCTCGAAAACCGCCAATAAAGGCAGCACCACGACACATTTGGAGAAAAGCAGATACCCTATAAATTCGATTTTTCTATAACAGAACAGTAGCAGTACGTTTTGGATTGACCATATATATTACCGGTTCCATTACATTTGAACCCACGTACATTTGAACCCATGACAATTGCGCCTGTATGCTATTGCATCTATGGAATTTTTTTTGTTTCACGAATAGTTAAACCCATACTAACCCTAACCCATGGGTTTTAGCACCCGCATATAGATTGAACCCGTGGATATACGCATGGGTTCAAATGTACGTGGGTTCAAATGTACGGTCACCATATTACCAAACATATCGTGTAATCTAAATTTTAATAATGGCATGGACGTAACAACTTTAAAATTGATTTTGTATTTCAACTAAATTTGCTAGATAATGGATAAAATATCATTTTCTCTTTGTCACACATTAATACTGTACATCTTTTAAACTTGGAATACGTTGCGGGAAGTATAAAACAGCAAAAAAACATTTGCGACTCCTAGTGGATTCTGTCCTGGATTACAAAAAATTATCGTTTTTAAAATGGCGATTTTTCGAAAACCGCCAATAAAGGCAGCACTACGACATATTCGGATAAAAGCACCTACATTATAGATTCGATTTTATTATACCAGAACAGTAGCAGCACGTTTTGACTTGGCCATATATAATACCAAACATAGCCTATATTCCTCGATTTTTAAAACAAAGGTACGTAACATATTAAAAAAGGGTTTGTATTTCAACTAAAGTTGCAGGATAATTGATCAAATATTTTTTTCTCTTTGTCGCACATCAATACTGTACGTCTATTAATGTTAGAATAAGTTTCAGAAAGTATAAAGTAATAATAAAAAAAATTTTGCGCACCCCCTTAAATTAGTTTGAGAATTTCGAAAATTATCGTTTTTGGATTGGTGATTTCTCAAAAACCGCCAATAAAGGCAGCATCGCGACACATTCAGAGAAAAGCACATACCTTATAGATTCAATTTTATTATGTCAGAACGGTAGCAGCACGTTTTGACTTTGCCATATATAATACCAAACATAGCGTAAACTCTTTCAATTTTATGAACAATGTGGACGAAACAAATTTAAAAAGGAATTTTATGTCAACTAAATTTGCTGAACAATTGATAAAATATATATTTTTCTCTTTGTCACACATTAATACTGTACGTCTATTAAACTTAGAATGAGTTGCAGAAGAAAAGTATAAAATACCAAAAAAACATTTTACGCCCTCTCGTGGATTCTTTTCAAAATTTCGAAAAATTATCGATTTTGGAAGGGCAATTTCTCGAAAACCGCCAATAAAGGCAGCACTACGACACATTCGGAGAAAAGTATATACCCTATAGATTTGATTTCACTATAACAAAACAGTGGCAGCATGTTTTGACTTGGCTATATATAATACCAAAATAGCGTGTATTCTCAGTTTTATAAACAATGTCGACGTAACAAATTTAAGATGGATTTGTATTTCAACTGAAGCTGCTGGAAAATTGATCAAATATATTTTTCTCTTTGTCACAAATGAATACTGTACGTTTATTAAACTAAGAATTAATTGGGAAAGTTTAAAATATAAAAAAAAACATTTTACGCTTTCTATAATGGGTTCTTTTCTGAATTCCGAAAAATAATCGTTTTTGAAAGGGCGATTTCTCGAAAACCGCCAATAAAGGCAGCAATACGACACATTCGGAAAAAAGCAAATACCTTTTAGATTCGACTTCACTATACCATAACAGTAGCAGCACGTTTTGACTTGGCCATTTATAATACCAAACATAGCGTATATCTCAATTATTTGAATAGCGTAGATGTTCACATATTTTAAAAAGGTTTGGTATTTCAAATAAACTCACCTAATATCGTTTTATTCCGTTTTCTTACTTTTTCAAACACCGATACTGTGTGTTAATTAAACTTGGAATAAGATGCAAATTGTATAAAACAGTGAAAAATGTCTTACAACCTATATATAATTTTTTCAATTTCCCAAACATGCCGTTTTTGGAGTGACGATTTCTCGGAAAATGGCCAATAAAGGCAGCAATACGACACTTTTGGAGAATAGCAGATACGTTAAAGATTCGATTTCACCAAACCAGAACAGTAGCAGCACGTTTTGATTTGGCCATATTTAATACTAAACATAGCGTATATTTTCAATTTTATCAACTATGTATATGTGACATATTTAAAAACGGTTTGGTATTTCAACTAAATTTACTGGAAAATTCATCAAATACTTCCCTCTCTTGGGTATACAACAAAACTGTACGTTCATTAAACTTGGAATTAGTGTGCAAATCTTAAAATGCCAAAAAATGATTTGACGCCCTCTAGTGGATCCTTTTCGGAATTTCGAAAAATTATCGTTTTCGAAAGGGCGATTTCTCAAAAACCTCCAATAAAGGCAGCACTACAACACATTCGGAGAAAAGCAGATACCTTATAGATTTGATTCCATTATGTCAGAACAGTAGCAGCACGTTTTGACTTGGCCATATATAATACCAAACATAGCGTGTATTCAAAAAGTTATAAACAATGCAGACGTGACATATTCAAAAAAACGTTTGGTATTTCAACTAAATTTACTAGATATATTATCAAACATCTTCTTTTCTTGGACATACATATATACTGTACGTTCATTAAACTTGGAAATTAGTTGCGGAAAGTATAAAATACCAAAAAGCCTTTTACGTCCTTTTATGGATTATTTTCAAAATTTCAAAAAATTATCGTTATTGAAATAGCGATTTCTCGAAAACCGCCAATAGAGGCAGCATTACGACACATTTGGAAAAAAGCAGATACCTTATAGATTCGATTTTAATATGTCACAACAGTAGCAGCACGTTTTGACTTGGCCATATATAATTCCAAACATAGCGTATATTTTCAATTTTATTAAAAAATGTAGATGTGACATATTTAAAAACGGTTTGGTATTTCAACTAAATTTACTGGAAAATTCATCAAATACTTTCTTCTCTTGGGTATACAACAAAACTGTACGTTCATTAAACTTGGAATTAGTGTGCAAATCCTAAAATGCCAAAGAATGATTTGACGCCCTCTTGTGGATCCTTTTCGGAATTTCGAAAAGTTATCGTTTTTGAAAAGGACGATTTCTCAAAAACCGCCAATAAAGGCAGCACTACGACACATTCGGAGTAAAGCAGATACCTTATAGATTTGATTTCATTATGTCAGAACAGTAGCAGCACGTTTTGACTTGGCCTTATATAATACCAAACATAGCGTGTATTCAAACTTTTATAAACAATGCAGACGTAACATATTTAAAAACGGTTTGATATTTCAACTAAATTTCCTAGATAATTTATCAAACATCTTTTTCTCTTGGACATACATATATACTGTACGTCCATTGAACTTGGAATGAGTTGCGGAAAGTATGAAATAACGGAAAATCATGTTTCGCCTTCTTGTTGATTATTTTCAAATTTTCGAAAAATTATCGTTTTTGAAATAGCGATTTCTCAAAAACCGCCAATAAAGGCAGCACTACGACACATTCGGAGAAAAGCACATACCTTATAGATTCAATTTTATTATGTCAGAACGGTAGCAGCACGTTTTGACTTTGCCATATATAATACCAAACATAGCGTATACTCTTTCAATTTTATGAACAATGTGGACGAAACAAATTTAAAAAGGAATTGTATGTCAACTAAATTTGCTGAACAATTGATAAAATATATATTTTTCTCTTTGTCACACATTAATACTGTACGTCTATTAAACTTAGAATGAGTTGCAGAAGAAAAGTATAAAATACCAAAAAACATTTTACGCCCAATCGTGGATTCTTTTCAAAATTTCGAAAAATTATCGATTTTGGAAGGGCAATTTCTCGAAAACCGCCAATAAAGGCAGCACTACGACACATTCGGAGAAAAGTATATACCCTATAGATTTGATTTCACTATAACAAAACAGTGGCAGCATGTTTTGACTTGGCTATATATAATACCAAAATAGCGTGTATTCTCAGTTTTATAAACAATGTCGACGTAACAAATTTAAGATGGATTTGTATTTCAACTGAAGCTGCTGGAAAATTGATCAAATATATTTTTCTCCTTGTCACAAATGAATACTGTACGTTTATTAAACTAAGAATTAATTGGGAAAGTTTGAAATATAAAAAAAAACATTTTACGCTTTCTATAGTGGGTTCTTTTCTGAATTCCGTAAAATAATCGTTTTTGAAAGGGCGATTTCTCGAAAACCGCCAATAAAGGCAGCAATACGACACATTCGGAAAAAAGCAAATACCTTTCAGATTCGACTTCACTATACCATAACAGTAGCAGCACGTTTTGACTTGGCCATTTATAATACCAAACATAGCGTATATCTCAATTATTTGAATAGCGTAGATGTTCACATATTTTAAAAAGGTTTGGTATTTCAAATAAACTCACCTAATATCGTAATATTCCGTTTTCTTACTTTTTCAAACACCGATACTGTGTGTTAATTAAACTTGGAATAAGATGCAAATTGTATGAAACAGTGAAAAATGTCTTACAACCTATATATAATTTTTCAATTTCCCAAACATGCCGTTTTTGGAGTGACGATTTCTCGGAAAATGGCCAATAAAGGCAGCAATACGACACTTT